CTGCCCCCCTTCTCTCCCCCTCTCTCTCCACACGACAGTCCCCTCCCCAAATGCTCCATTTCTCTTCTTCCTACACTCCACCTCCATGTCCTGTTCACTCGTCAGTCCACTCCCTTTGGCTTTTGTCCCCACCACCTTGGCTCTTGTCAAGGTCCCCAGCAGCCTCCAAGTGGTGCCATGCAGTGGGAGGTCTCCCTCCTCATGTATCTGTTCTCCTGACCTCCCGACAACACATTGCTGTGTGTTCTCTCCTACCTCACTGGCTGCTCTCTCTCAGTCTTTTCTGGCTGGCTTTTCCTCTTTCACTCACTTTCTAGAATCAGAAATTCTTAACTTCCTGCTTGTGGGCTAGTTTTTCTTTTCTCTATAGATGCTCTCCCGGTGTGACCTCACCTGGTCCCACGGATTTAAATATGGTCTGAATGCTGATGACTCTTCATGACTCCAGACCAACTAGAGTGGTCTGTTTAAAACACAAATTTAAAAAAAAACCACCCACAAATTAGATTATATCATGCCGCTGCTTAGAGGCTTCCATGGCTTGTCACTGCATCAAGAATAAAGCCCCGGGCACCTGGGTGGCTCAGTCGATTAAGCGTCTGCCTTCGGCTCAGGTCATGATCCCGGGGTCCTGGGATCGAACCCCCCCCCAGCATCGGGCTCCCTGCTCCGCGGAGAGTCTGCTTCTCCCTCTGCCCCTCCCCACACTCATTCTCTCAATCTCGCTCTCTCTCTTAAATAAATAAATAAAATCTTAAAAAAAAAAAGAATAAAGCCCCTGCCCAGGGCATGCCTTGGCTCCACTCCAGCTTTAACTTGTCCTTTACTTTCCATCACTCTTCTAGTCGCAGTCACACTGACCTTCTTATTTAAACATCTATCAAGTCTGTTTCTCCTCAGAGCCTTTGCCCTTGCTGTTTCATCTGCCTGGAATTCTCTTACTCTGGCTCTTTGAATAACTCCATTTATATGTATACATATTAAAAATTAAAAAAATATAAATATATATACATATATTTAATTTTTATTTTAAGCAGGCTCCACACCCAATGTGGAGCTTGAACTCACAGCCCTGAGATTAAGTGTTGCATGCTCCAAGGTAACCAGGCACCCCTGAATAACTCAGTTTATTTATTTATTTTATTTTTAAAATATTTTATTTATTTATTTGACAGAGAGAGAGACAGCAAGAAAGGGAACACAAGCAGGGGGAGTGGGAGAGGGAGAAGGAGAAGCAGGCTCCTTGCTGAGCAGGGAGCCCGATGCGGGGCTCGATCCCAGAACCATGGGATCATGACCTGAGCCGAAGGCAGACGCTTAACGACTGAGCCACCCAGGCGCCCCTATTTATTTATTTTTAATAACTCATTTTAAATGTCACCTTCTCAGTGAGGCCTCCCTGACTATACTATTGAAAGCAGGTTCCCCTACTAATTCCTCTTAATTCTCCCTCAGCCAATGGTTTGTTTCTTCCATGAAAAAAAAAACCTTTTCATTAAAAAAAAAACACCTCCTCTTTGAAGCCTTCCAGGATTTAGTCTTCATTCAGTTTTCATCATGTTGGTCAATTTAGCGGCTTGAATGGGAGGAAATAAACTGTTTTTTCCACTGGGTAACCGGCATCATTTCTTACAATCTGATATATAATTCTTATAATCATTTGATGCTTCATTCCTCCTTGAGTAGAGCTTTACGCCGTATACACTGTGTGCCTGAACTGAACATTGCCCATTAGTGCAGCACAAGAGACTCTGCAATTGGATGACCCTGGGATCCAATCAGTCTCAGCTCTGCCACTTCCAAGCTGTGTGACCTTGGACAAGCATTCCAGTTATCCACTGCCGCGTAACAAACTACCCCAAAACTTAGTGGCTTAAAACAACAATATTTCTTTTGCAGTTTGGGACAGCTCATTTCTGCTCTACTTGGCATCAGCTGGGACAGTGCCAAGACTGGGGCCTGAATCATCTGAAGGTTCGCTCTCCCACATGTCTGGTGGTTAGCGGGGACCAGAGCTGCAGTTGTTGGCTGGAACACCTTCACTAACCTCTCCATGAGGCCTGGGCTTCCTCCGAACATGGTGGCTAGGTTCCAAGGGGAGTGGATTAAGAGAGAGAGCGCGTGAGCACACGAGAGATCGCTGAAGAGCTTTTTATGAGCTAGCCTTGGAAGTCACACATCACTTTTGCCACTCTCTATTGGCTCAGGCCGTCACAAAGCCCTACTCAGGTTCAAGGGGAGGGGATAGAGATCCCGTCGCTCAACTGGAAGGGCGTCGATGCCACACTGTAAAAACAGCGATTGGGATGAGCTGTATATTGCTGTGCTTCTCCTTGGAAAATAGCCACAAGAAGCTCCTAACCTTCCTAAGATCCTCTGCTGAAGCGTTGAGCGCAGAGCCTGGCACAGGTGAGTGCCCAAGGGTCAGGAAGCTGCAGTCTCCCTGTCTGCATGTAACCAGTTCTCAACTCCCAGCAAGTCTCATTCCTGAACTGAGCCTGAGTTCAAGAGCCCCTACCTAGGCCGCCCCCAACCTCGGACCCCTCCCCACCAGGGCCTGCTGCTCTCCAGGCTCTCCTGGGGCTACACTGTAGATTCATGGCTCCCCCAATCCAAAGACCCTCAGAGCAGGAAGAGCCCTCAGCCTCCTGCTGGGCCATGAGTGTTGGGACCCAGGCAGAATCTGTGTGGTAGAGCCGGGACTCGGGACTTGGACCCAGGTCCAAGTGGGAAGATTCAAGCCACTCTAATCTCAGGACCACTAGTGTGGCCATGGGTGTGTTAGGAGCGGCTGAGCTGGCCTGGACTAGCATGTCCCCTGCCTGGATTCACACCATCGAGCATCTCCAAGCCCACATTCTGCATGGCGGAGAAACCAAAACACAGAGAAGGTGAACCATTTCTTTCTTTTCTTTCCTTTTTTTAAAAAAGATTTTATTTATTTATTTATGTGTTCGTGTGTGTGTGTGTGTGTGAGAGAGAGAGAGAGAGAGAGAGAGAGAGCGATCATAAGTAGGCAGACAGACAGGCAGAGGCAGAGGGAGAAGCAGACTCCCTGCCAAGCAAGAGCGCGGAGCCCACCCGATGCGGGACTTGATCCCGGGACCCCAAGTTCATGACCTGAGCTGAAGGCAGATGCTTAACTGACTGAGCCACCCAGGCACCCCAAGGTAAACCATTTCTGAGAATTCTGTAGCATCTCTGTGCCAAAAAAGGACCAGCCTACAAGAAATGGAGACATCACAGCTGGAAGGACCCTGTCATCTGCTACATCAGACTAGACCAAGTGGGGACTCTGAGGCCCAGGAGGTGGGAAGGCCTGCTCTGGCCCTTGCCTCTGTGCTAGACAAGCCCACCTTGTTTGTGGTGAATCTACAGTGGCCCATCTCCCCTCTATACTGTATACGCCATGATGTCAGGAAGGCATCAATGACAAGTCCACTCACTGTCCTACCTGGTGCCTCTGGACTAGGTGAGCCGACAGCCAGTGGGAACAGGGGAGCTGGAGCCGTGCCAGGATGGGGTGAGAATGCCCCTAAAGAAAGCTTTGCTAAATGGCCCTGCTCCACGGGGCTCTGTGGGGCCACCTGGAGGAAAAACCTGAGGGTGGAGGGGGCACTCACACACGTGGACACACCTGGACTAGGATGAAGCCATGTCTCAGGTGAGAAGGCACATCCCAGGATTCACTGCTGTGAGGGAGGTGGGATAGACATGAAGAAGCAGACCTGGTGCCAACTGATTGTCAAGGGCAGGAGGAGGCGAAGGAACAGGATTGGGGGGAGTGGGCAGGATGGGGGTAGGGGAGAGGAGGAAGGAGAAAACGGTCAGGTGGAGGAAAAGGAGGGGGGGCAGGAACCCGGGAAAAGAAGAGGCTGCAGAGGGGTAAACATAACCCTGCCCCCCTCCTCAGGTGGCAAGGGAGCGCCACGCTGAGGATGGGTGCCCACCCATGGGACAGCCAAAGGACTTAAAACTGGCTCTGCCCGGCGGTGGCTCAGTGAGGGGGAGGAGGAGTAGCAGCAAGGAGCGGGGGAGGGGACGGAGGCGGGGCAGGTGTGATCGACTCGGGAAAATCCACTACAGAGCCAGAAGCACATTCCTGGAAGGAAAGAACGGAAACCACCAGAGCCAGGGCTCCGGGTTGCCTGGGGTTGCCCTGGGGAGGCAACGTGTGGAGATCAGGACAATTGTCTTTAGTCTGTGCCAGCCCCCACCGCCACCGGGGTCAGAATATACTCCCAAAGCATCGCCGGTCTGACACCTCATAATGGGCCGCCTCCATTTTAACTATGCAGAGCCTGAAACCGGGCTGGGGTTGGAAGGAGTATGCCTGAGATCCCAGCGGGTCAAGGTGTGCAGAGCTGGGCGTGCACCTAGGGCTCCACGGTCCCTACGCCTGAGAGAGGGAGGCCGAGGTAGAACCAGAGAGCACGCCCTGGAGGTGTGAGGTTTGGGTTCCATCCCCGCTCCGCCATTGGCTTTGGGCTAATCGCGTACCTTCCCCGGGCTTCAGTTTACGCATCTGTACTATGGGATAATTGGTCTTGCTTTGCAAGGTTAAGGGGGGCGGAGTCCGCGCACGCTCCGCACAGCCGCGAGGGGCGAGGCACCGGCCGGGTATATGGATGCTGGCTCCTGCCTTCTGAGGTCGGCTCGGCCTCTGCCTCGGAGTCCCCTCGCTCGCCGCTCCCGCGGCCCCTGCCCGGACGCTGGGCGCAGGGGAGCATCGGCCGGGCGCGTTCCGCAGGCGGGCAGGGGAGGCAACGGCGGCGGAGCGGAGGAGAGAGCCCGGGCCGCGGCAGCCCGGGCCTGCCTGACCCTCGAGGGGGTCGCTGTTGCCTCGCAGATCCCTCCCTCGCTCGCAGCCTGTGTCCCTCCCTGCCGCTCCCGCCGCGTCCGCCTTTTGTTCGCGGAGCCGCGCGCCCCCGAGCCGAGGCGGCGGGGCGGGGAGCTGGCGGGGCTGCGCGGGGGGCGGGCCGCGCCGGGCGGAGCCGGGGCCCGAGCCGCAGTCGGACTCGGAGCCCGAGGGAGCGATCGGCGCGCAGGCAGCCGAGGCCCGGGCGCGCTCCGGGGGCGCGGCGAGGCCGAGGGGGCGGGCGCCGGGCGGAGCCGGAGCCGCAGCCGGGGCGCCTGGAGGCGGTCGGGCCGCTCTCTCCGAGCTCAGGGCAGCGGAGAGCCTGTGCGGCGGGGGTCCGGGCCAGAGCGCAGTCCCGCAGCTGAAGTGGGCCGAGAGGAGCCGCGGCCGGAGCGGCCGGAGCGGCGCCGGGACCCTCCCCAGGGGCGCGGAGGCCGGGCGGGCCCGGGCCATGCGCGCCGCTCTCTGAGGCCGAGGGAGGCCGCGATGGAGGTGCCGGCGGGGGAGCCCCCGGCCCGGGGCTGCGGTCCCCCGCCCGTGCCCGCCCCGGAGAGGAAGAAGAGCCACCGCGCGCCGTCGCCGGCCCGGCCCAAGGACGTGGCCGGCTGGTCTCTGGCCAAGGGCCGCCGCGGCCCAGGCCCGGGCGCCGCAGCCGCCTGCAGCGCCGCGTCCTCCGCGCGGCCGGACAAGAAGGGGCGCGCGGTGGCGCCCGGGGCGCGGAGCGCGGGGACACGAGTGGCCGGGGTCCGCACCGGGGTTCGCGCCAAGGGCCGCCCGCGCCCCGGTCCCGGGCCGCGCCCGCCGCCCCCGCCGCCCAGCCTCACCGACAGCAGCTCGGAGGTGTCGGACTGTGCGTCGGAGGAGGCGCGCTTGCTGGGCCTGGAGCTGGCGCTGAGCAGCGACGCCGAGTCGGCGGCCGGGGGCCCGGCGGGGGCCCGCACGGGGCAGCCGCCCCAGCCCGCGCCGCCCGCACAGCAGCCCCCGAGGCCGCCCGCCTCCCCGGATGAGCCGTCGGTGGCCGCGTCGTCGGTGGGCAGCAGCCGCCTGCCGCTCAGTGCGTCGCTCGCCTTCTCCGACCTCACCGAGGACATGCTGGACTGCGGGCCCGGCGGCTTCGTGCGAGAGCTGGAGGAGCTGCGCTCGGAGAACGACTATCTCAAGGTGGGGGCGCCGATGGGGGAAAGGGAGGCGGCGGGAGGCGCGGGTTGTGGCGGCCCCAGGCGTCTGAGGCACCAGCCGGCCCGCCGGCCCACTGAAGGAGCTGGGAGAGGGGGCCCAAGTCCTCGGGGACCACCCTGAGGTCGGCCTAGGGCTCCCACACATCCTGCCTCCCTTTTTGTTTGGGAAGCCGTCTCCCTGAGGAGGAACCCAGTTGAGACTGGCCATAGGGCGCTGATTTTGGAGGAAGGGAGTCTTGAGAACACTGCTTTGGGAGATGCCCAGATGCATTACTTGGGATGGGGTGGGGGTAGTCAGTGAGGGGCTGGACCCCTGTCCTTCAGCTTCTTAGAAGCCCCACCCCCAGGCCAGAGGCCAGGCCTTTGGTGGCCCTTCGGGGGACAGGTATTGGGGTGCACTTGTGCCAGGGAAACCTGTGGCTGTCCCCCTGCTAGGGAGAGGCCAGAACACCATCCTGAGTCTTCATCCAGGGCTTTCCTTGGTGCAGGCCTGTCCCCGCCTGCCTTTCAGGGCGGGTCCTGTTTGAAAGCATGACATCTGGGAACATCCCCTTGGCTCGAGTCCGACTTCCGCCCAGTCTAACGGTCCCACAGCCTGGGAGGAGGATGTCGTGGGAGAACTGGTTCAGAGGCAGCTTCTTAAATCCCAGGATGTTGTCTTCTGCTCTCTTCTGCCCTGTACGCACAGCAGTCCCACTGGCCCCTCATGGCCGGTGCCCTTGTCCTTCCCGTGTTCCCACGCAGAGGAGGGAAGCTGTCCGTCTGAAAGGGGCATCTTGGGGACCTGAGAGCTTCCCTGGAGAGCAGACCTATCTTGCCTTCCCCCTTTCGGTGGACATGAGCACCTACTGGGGACTGGCCAGTCTCTGCCTGCCCACTGCCTGGTACCCAGAGCTCTACAGACAGCCCAGTGCTCATGTGCTGTCCTTGGCTGGGGAGACCGAAAGCTTCGTGGGCTCTACCACGACTGGCTGGGCATGGTTTTGGAAGAGGCCGAAATGCTACCTGCTACTCTTGTCAGTTGATGGCCTGGCACAGCACCCCAGCGTACCCTGGCTGAGAGCCACAGAATTAACATCACTCTGCTGATTGATGTCTGCCTGGCGACACTTAGCTTTGCGCTGTGGCTCTTCTGGCCAAGTAGGTTTCTCTCTCGTGAGACTTCTGGGGTCTTACTCAACTGTGTCTCTTCCTCCTGATTTTCCCCCAGGATCTCTTCTCCAGCATGTGCTCAGGAAATGCTTGTAGAATAAAAAGACAGAGTCTGTCTGAATCGGCATAATCCACCCCTTCAGCCTCTAATCTTTCCCCAAGCCAGGTCTCAGCTTCCTCATCTGTTAAATGGGAGGGCAAGTCTTCCCAAAGGCCCCATTCACTGTTGACAGTTGAAGGCCCAGTCAGCTCTCACAGTCTTCAGAAGCCCGTGGTGAGGAGAGGACACGTGGGGGGTGGGTAGGAGGACAGAGACAAGCCAAAAAGAAGCCTGGCTCTGCCCTCTTGGTGCCCTGACTGCTTCTGGCCCTGCCTGCCTGAGCTGCTCTGAACGCAGACCTCCTGGCCCACGCTGTTCATCCTGGCGAGCGAGATGGACCATGAAGCTTTGCTTCAAGGTCTCCTCATGCACCAACCCTTGTGGGCTCCTGTCCATTCCACGAAGTCATCAGGCAGAGCTCTGGAGTCTGCCTGGGCCAGCCGTGACTGTTAAGATGGACAGTAGTTCCAGAAGGCTGGGGGTTGAGCCCAAGGTCTCCAGGGGCCAAGGCCTGGCTGGGCACCCCCCACTGCCTGGGCTGGGGCTGAACCACATTTCCACTTTCATTCAGCCCTTCAGGCTTCACGGGCAGGCCTCAGGCCACAAGTGGATCTGGGGTCTGGCTTCCTGGCTGTGTGGCCTTGGGCAAGTGACTTACTGTCTCCAGACCTCATTGAGGAAACCCTCATTGTAAAAAGGTACATCACGCTTCTTCCAACCTTAAGGGTTGAAGGAGATAATGTGTGTAAACACTAGAGTGCCTGGCATGGAGTGAGCCTCAGATGAGGCCAGTTGTGATCACGGCGGCTCCCCAGCAGTGTGGGACACATTTCCACAGGTACCCAGCATGTTCTCTGTGGGTTCTGTGGGCGGCAGAATATCCTCCTCCCCACCTGAAGCGGGCCTGACTCTTTCTTCTGGCCTCTCATTCATTCTTTCACCATTTATTTAGTGCCTACTGTGTACCAGGCCCTAGTGCAGATCCGAGATACGGCCTTGGACAAGGATGACATGTCTGTGTTCACGGAGCTCAGAGTCTAGTGGGGGAGACTGGGATTTAACAATAGCAGTTCAGTAAATCACAATACAGATCAGGATAAGGGTGAAAGGATAATGTGTGCCAAGAGCGCATGAAAGTGGGGCTGGGGACGTTCAGGGAGGCCACGGCCTGGAGGATGACATGCAGCCAGCTGAATAGGAGCTGGAGTAAGAACATTCCAGGCTGAGGGAAGTGGGGAAAAGCATGTTGATTTTGAGGGACAGCATAGAGACTGGAGAGAGGAAGGAGGTTGGGTGGAGAGGTGAGCTGGGCCAGACTGTGCGGTTCTCGCTGTGTGCACTTGGGTGGGTCCCTGAACTTGCCTAGAGCTTTGTTTGACCCAGCCACCAATCTCACAGAGGCGAGGTGAAGATCTAGAGACTGGGGATGTGGACCGTAAGGATAGAAGCTGTCACAGGAGGTGTTTTGTTCATTCTGCAGATGGGTAAACTGTGGCCAGAGAGAGGAGGGGACTTGCTCTGGGTCCCTGAGCCGGTTCTCCAGACAGCCAGGGCTGAGAGTAAGAGTGTATTACACTCTTGACGTGTTTTCTGCCCCTCTGGGCCTCTTTGCTTCCCAGATGCAGAAACTGTTACCAGGAGAAGGACTCCAGCTCCCCAGTGTGTCCCCTGTAGGTTTCGTGCTACCTAGGTTGAGTCTAAAGTCTGGTGGGGCCCTGCTTGGGTTCACCTCCCAGAGGTGGGGGCCCTGGAACTGTCAGCTGGGGAAGGAAGGCCTCACGGGTGGTGGCAGATCTCCTGTTGCATGAGGCCTGCCCAGGGGCCCAAGTGGAGAAACAGCATATGGGGCAGCTGCCTCCCAATCAGAGATAGGAGAGAAGGGAGTGAGCCCGCTGTCACTTGAGTTATTCAAACAAAGGCTGGATGACCTTGCATGTTTGGACAAAGATGTGGGGCTTGTGGAAAGCAGCTTGTAAACTGTATAAAATGTTGGTGGTTGTGATTAGAAGGAAGATTCAGGGAGAGATTTATGTGGTGGCTACAGTTGAACTGCCTGACTGACCTCAGGATCCCTTCTGGCCAAGGAAGTTTGGAGATGATGAACTTTTGAGGTTCCAGAATTCTAAGACGCAGATTTAGCTGCAGAGCAGATGCATCGACTGCATTTGACCTTCAAAGCCCTGGTGGTCTGAGTTCTTCCAGCTCCTCATCACCGCTAACCCATGTGCCATGGGTGAGGATGTGCAGGGAACCCACCCCAGTGTAGATGGAAGAATCTGAGAGTTGGGGCCCAAAGACCTGGCTTTGAGACCTGACTCTGCCATTTACTGTGTGGCCATGGGCAAGTCACTTGGCCTCTCTGAGCTCCTTTTCTTCATCTATATAATGAAGATGATGGAACCTACCTGGGCAGCTTCATAAGATTGTTTTCAGGAATCAGGGAGGTATGAATAGATGAGAAAAGATTTTACAAGCAGTGAAATCCCACATCTCTTGGGGAATTGTTGTCATTATTAGCCAATGAGCAGATAGGATGTCTGTGTCTTCATTCTCGGGGCAGCTGGGAGAAGCCAGGAAGGTGGATCCCCGCGGCTTTAGGATGGTAATAAATCAGGAGCTGCTTCAGGGAGGACAGGAAGGTGTGATCACATTCCATGCTGTGTGGGCACCTTGAAGCAAGGCCACTCCCCCCCCCCCAGCCCCCTTGGAGGTTCTAGGTGTGAGTGTTTGAAGTATAGATGTCAGCTCAGGGGTGCCCAGAGGAAGCATCTACTCCACCCCCTGGGTCTCACTTACAGTTGGGTAAATGGAGGCCCCAGGTCACAACCAGGATTCCAAACCTTTGCGTCCTGGTCTTTCTGAAGCATGACTGGAGCAGTGAGCTTCGGGTTGCTAACAGTGCGTCTAGTCTGGGACACAGTTTGCTGAAAGGAATCCTGTTGTGTGCCAGGCTCTAGGCTAAGACTTGTCAGGAACAAGTGAGGGGAACGGATGCTGGGGCTGGAGTCTGGAGCCTACAGGCAGGGGGAGAGGGGCATGCATGTGCATGCATGGAGGTGAGTGTGTACCTCGCGCTGGTGAAGCACGTGATTGGGGTGGGAGGAATCTGAGATCCTGGAGGAAAGGATGGGGGTTTGGATCCAGCCTTAAGGGTTAGTTAATGGTTAGGCTGGAGCCCAGGGTGCTGGAATGTGAGAGCCAGCTTGGGGACCCCCAGACCACTGATCCTGGACTTCTGTGGCTCTGGCCTTGTGATCGCTGTCCCCTGTGGATCACTCCCAGTGCCTTAGGCTCTGGGTTAAGTAAGCCCTTATCCTCACAGCAACCCTGTGTCGAGGGTTCTGACGTCAGATCCGTTTGACAGATGAGGAAACCAAGAGGCTATGTAACCTGCCCATGATTGCACAGCTGACGTACTTGGGAACCTCCCTGGAAAACCCTAAGGAGCTCCCCTTACCCCCTGGCTCTCCCACCCTCTCCTATGCAAGAGGTAGCCTGGGCTTCTGACTTTCACACAGCAGAGTTCTTGTCTGGATTTGCAGGTTACACGCTGTGTGATGTTGGGTGAGAGGCTCCGCCTTTCTGAGCCTCGTTTCTTCTCTAAAGTGGGGGATAAGCATGCCTGCCTCAAGGTCGTACCCTTTCCGCTGGCATGCACCGTAAATGTGAGTGCTTGTTCCTGTGGTCCCTTTCCCTCACCTGCTTCTCCAAGCATTCATTCAGTCAACCTA